CCAGCGTTTATTTCCCCATAACGATAACAAGATCCACATTCATTCCTTAATTGATTCACTTATTACAGTAAATCATGAATCTGTAAGAACAGCTTAGACTCGTCCAACTTAGATACAGATGTTAGTCTCCACAAACAACCACACAAAATGACCTTCCTCCAATCTTTTTGGATATCTTTCATCTGCATTGCAAGTACCCCATACTCATACTTTAATACCATTTTGTCTTGTACCTGCGAGTCTTTAAAAATTGAATTTCATTTATGACACACACTTTGTTGTTTGTGGGTAAAACATAGCAGCTGATTTTAGGCGGATTGGTCAATATACAGCTGTCAATCATTCTTTACTGTTCAAATACATCAGGACAGAGTCCTGATAAACTATGGCAGCCTTGGAACACTGTGGTAGCAGGACTTTTTAGGTGGACCATTTGAAGTTAATGTTCATGTTCTTTGTAGGCTCATGGTTTTGAGATATTATGTGCTCGATGTGGAGGAAAGAAATCCAGTATTAATGGTCACACACAGTTTAATGAACAAGATGGAAGATGGCAACGGTACTTACAAGCTTTAAAAGATAATGGATTTTTTAAGGTTGGTTGTATTTCCTCTCCGTCCATTTCAATCTTATTTTTATGACTAATATCATGTAGATGTTTTGATTGTTGTTTTTTCTTTGGATGATGATCTGTTCAAATTCTTCTTTGAATTGTGTTCATTTGAAATAAGACTTAATATTGTTTATAGTTTTATGGGGAAAAAATGTGAACCAATCAAATCATTGATTGATAGATTATTTTAATAACCTGGAACAATTGTTCAGTTCAAGCATAGCAAATGATATTTGCAGACATAAACACAAACAAAATGAAAGGATTTAAGTAGATGATTCCATTTGGATCCTGGTTTAAAAAGCATGGACAAAATTGTTTGTGATAAACAATTGTCTTGAAAGAGAATTACTTCATAGATATTGTTCATATATTAGTGTGAATGAATTATCATTTATTGACGTAATATAAACTAAACTTTATTAATTTTCAGAATGAATTAGAAGGATCTAAACATTATAAGATTTTATTAGAAGATGCCAAAAGTTTTTATACAGATAATTTAGCAAATCAAAAAAGGTATATCAGATTGACATAACAATAATTTAAGCAAAAACTTTAAGATACCATCATTCTTAAGGTGCCATAGCGATCACCAGTTAGGAATAAGAATTAGCGGTCATAAGCTTAAAAGGCAACTCTCATGCAAATCAGCTGCATTTGGTACTCATGTCCACTTTCAATATTCGTAACACACACAACTGGTAATTGCTATGATGTAAGGGTATCTTAATTTACTTCTCTACAATCCATCTTAAAATTGAAATCATTTAATGACATTTAATGGTGAGAAGATGATTTTTTTAAAATGATAACTTGATATTTAACTTGATAATTGAGCGTCAAATTTCATTTTTATACCCCCACATCTCTCTATGTGGACGTATATTGTCGGCACCCCCGTCCATCCGTCGGTCCGCCCATCAACATTGCTTGTAAACGTTCTAAAAACTAGGTTTTTTTTTGATGGAATCAAATGAAATGCGGTAGGTGTATACATATTCATAAAACGAAGATCAAGTTCGAATTTGAGCTATTTTCGACTGTTAGAAGCAGAGTTATTGCTCTTGCCCCAAAATCTTGAATATTTACCATCTGCATGCCGTGGTGGCCGTATAATGGCTGTGGTCCACTATCTTTTATTATGATGTTTGTGGCAAAACTTTAATTTGCAGTATTTATTTTTCAGAAAAAAGAAAGAACCAGGGAACAGTATTTTTGACTTATTAGATTCCAGTACATATTCTATGGAAGATTTCAAAAAGAAAGAAAAAGTACTTCCTCCATCAGATGGTAAACATTGTCTGTTTACTTGTTTTTTGTGTCATTACATGTGTCATGTGTTATGTATCATTCATACATTTTGAATCATCCATGTCTTGTATTGAACTCATGTCCTGTATCATGTATTTGTATTATGAGTGTATCTTGTATTATGTGTCATAGATACATCTTGTATTATACACTTTTCTATCATGTATTTGTATTTGTCATTGATACGTATTGTATTATCATACAAGTCTTGTATCATGTATCAAACATCTGCCTTGAATCACACATATCTTGTTTCATGTATCATACATGTACCTTGTACTCATGGGTCATGTATTATGTATCATAGACCCTTCATCGAGCAGAAAATTTCAAGTACATTTTTGAAATGAAATTTACACTAGTATGTCATTAAAGAGACAATGTATCAAATAGGGATTATGAAGCATTTTCCCCAAAATACCCAAAACAAAATTTTTTGTAAACTGTGTATTCCAGTTTTGGACAAAAATGTTAAATCTCTTTTGATTTGTGGATGATTTACATTAAATTATATATTGTAGATGACAGTTGGATTGAAGTAAGTCCTGATGACCTGGACCAGTTATTACATACAACAGTTGGTACAACACAATCTAATACAACACAACAAGATACATTTGATTTATCACAAATATCACAAAGTATGAAATCATTTGTTGATAATGTATCTTCTGTTGATGGTGTGGAATTTCCTAAGTAAGTATTACAATATGTATCATAATCAATTTGATAATGTATCCTCTATTATGTGAACTTTACTAAGTATAATTATAGCAAAATTGATATCTTGCATTTAGTTCTTTTGCAATACAATACTAAAGAAAATTAGATTGCCATAATTTTTAAGACTCATGTTGATCTCATTAGTGCCAATTGCCTTTGCCTTGGATTTTTCTAGAAGTTTTTTCTTCTCTTTACTTGTTGGAGAACTAAACGTCTGTTTTGGATTCTGAAACAGAAATTATTCATTATGAATTAATTATTCTAGAGAGGATGATGGTGATGGTGAAATCCAATTTGATGGCATGGGTTTTATACATGCTATGCAGAAAATGTTTGGTGAGTTTTCATGTTATTCAAATAGGTCACTAAATGTACAATAGAATCTGTATTAAGAGACCACTCAAGGAATTAATCCAAAATGGTCTGTTAATGAAGGTTGTATTGAAGAGTATAGGGACAGACTAAGCTGAGTATATATATTCCCTTTAAATCTGACCTGTATGTGAAGTAACGTTATGATCGAGATAATGAGAACTGTCATGGGCGCTTAATTTAGTCATTTTAATTTCACTGGCATGTAAATATATGGTCGTTGGTCTCTTCTAAGTCATTAAATATATTGAAAAAACGTAGAGGGTACTTTATTGTGGTAACATATTGAAGGTGATTGCTTAATAAAGGTGGTCAAGTGAGCAGGATTTATTGTATTTACAATTTCTTATGGACACACATAATATCCAGTGATAAGAATGCTGATTGAATGTGGACAAACTAAATAAATAACCAACCTACTGCCATAACTGAAGCCAATCTTTTCAGTGATGATGTTTTCTGTTCATTTTCAGATTTTCCAGAAGATAAAGATGATGATAGTGATGATGATATTGATGAATATGACTGGCAAGATGATGATGATGATATTGATGACTTAAGACCTTCCAAAAGTTTTCAACTGGATAAACCAAAGATTAAGACTGATCAAAAAATCAAACAATACATGGAACAAATGGATAGAGAATTGGATAAAACTGAAATGGGCAAAAGTTTTGACAAAGTTCCTAAGGTAGCAAAGTTTTTAAATTTGCATCTTTACAGATATGTGTATGTCTACAAAGATTCATTGCAAAAATGTCATATAGATATAATCATCCATCTTACAAAAACTTCTGTAAGCTTGTAAAAGAATGACCTCTTCATCATGTTATCGCAAACTTCTTTTGTGAAAATCAAAAGTCTAAGTCAGTGGTTTCCAACCTTTTTCAGCCTTCACACACCTGGTGAAATCACCTGAACCTTTCACACCCCAAAAATTTGTTTCATCCACATTTGCAGCATGTGATGTGCTCTCTCAATTCAAAATATATTCTTCTCCTACACCAGTTGGCCACACCCCTGACACCCTTCTCCTACACCCCAAGGTTGAGAACCGGGGATCTAAGTTATTACTTAGTAAAAGTTATAATTTAAAAATTGTTTTCTCTATTTTTAGGCACCACCAAGACCATCAAGGCCACAATCTAAACCTCCTCCGAGACCTTCCAACTCTTCTGCTAAACCAGATCCTAACTTTTCTTCAAAAAAACAAAATAACCCCCCACCAAGACCTCAGTCAAAACCCTCTCCAAGACCTCAAGCTAGACCCCCACCTAGACCACAGTCTAAACCAGCCAGTACGTCTGCTAACAAACCAAAGAAATCTTGCAACATTGAAGATGAAGATGATGATTTTAGACCAGTAGACATCGACTTAACATTGGTTAAAAACACTCTCCAGTCATTTAGTGCTCAACAAGGATTAGCAGGCCCCGCTTCTCATATCTTAAACAATATGGGAATTCATATCCCTCAAAATGCAGACTAGACAATAGTGTTGTAGAGTTGTGGTTTTTGTTAATAGTGCTATTTCTGCTATCCTAGCATAGTACATAGCATAGCACATGGCATAGCACATAGCATTTACATTAGACTAAAAGGAATCGTTATTTGCAGATGTACAGCAATAAAGGTTTTGTGAAAACTAAAAGATTGGCCTATTTGTATGATTCTGCTGTTGTTAGATAGAATTTAGTATTTTTAACAATTTTTTCTTATGCTATACCCCTTGTTTCATATTTACCATTAAAGGAATTGTAAAGAGGCTTTCTAAAATTTCTATTTATCGAGAACACTATAGCATCCATTAGCACTATTGTAAATTTCAATCAGACGTCTGTGGTTCCTGAAATTCCACTAAATCTGATGTTTGATGACATCACTATTCGTAAAATATGCTTTATCACTTAAGGCCCTTCGAAAATAGTGACCTCATCAAACACTTAGTTTTAGTGGGATTGCAGGAACCACAGATGTCTGATTGAAAATGAGAATGGTGCTAATTGATGCTACTGATAAACATGACAAATTTGGAAAACCTCTGTACAATCTCTTTAATGAAATGACAAATTTGGTATTATATCAGTATTGCAGAAGTTACAGTATTACTAACTAATTGAAACTCAGAGATTTTTTCATGCTGCTAATAAAACCTTAATCTTATATACTCTTAGGTTGTGAAAAGATATGTCTGCAGCATTATAAATGATTCCATCCACCATTTAGGGGAAATTTCATAAATTTGGAGAAATCAAACTACTGCAGTTCTGAAAAAAAAAAAATCATAAGACCTGTAGGAATTATCACTTTTCATTTTTGTCGCAAATATTGCCCTATAATTTGATTTAAAATTCATACATGTAATTATATTCGTGTAACATACTACTGTCATTTTATTCTTGTGCCAAATATTTTATTGAAGTTGTTCATTGCATACATATTGAGCATTTAGTTGTTCAAGGTTAGAGATTTCCACCATTACAAGTTTGAATGAACTTGTTCACTGTTCATTTTGAATTCGTTCACTGTTCACTAAAACCTTTTACATGGATATTCACGAGATTTCATATATCTTTTCTACAAGCTGATAGGGCTCAATTTCAGCTGTCTGGAGCTGTAGTAATTGTATGTGGAAAGCTTAGAAATAGCTTATGTCAACTGTATTATTTTTTGGATTGCAAAGGAATTAACAATCTAATAAGCAAATATTGTAATCATAACCTTTTCGAGCTGCATGGCAGTCAACATTATAAATCCCAATCATTTCAAATTTTTATGTTTTGTTTATTATTGTTTAAATAGGTTGTGTCAGAATTTATATAATTTTTTTTATAAAAAAAATGTGTTTTGTGTATTTTTTTAAGAGAAATTTTCTATTCAAACTGTTTTCAATTTTTTTATTATTTTTGTACATAATAGTATTTGTTTGCTAGATATATAGACATATTGTTTGATATTCATTGTCAAGTTAGAAGTTTGACTTACTGGTATCTAATTTCCAGTCTGATTCTCAAAGCAGGATGAGATTGGCTTGAGCTTTCTAGTGGAAAACAATTTTTTTGATATATTCTGATTTGAAATTTTTGATTTTAGAGCAGAATTTATGACGGCTATATCAATCTAATTAGAATAAGATTTCTTTCGTTATTGTTATTTTTGGTCTATAGTGTAATCTAAAAAGATTTATACTAATATCAATTACTATTGAAGTTCATTTCAACCAATCATCGCATTATGCAAAATCTGTGTCTAACTATTGACTATGAATTGTGAGATAGCGAAACCCAAAGTAGAGCCATATGAATTCTGATATTATGACGAATTATTAAACTGCCGATGCTTGCTTGTAAAAGTGACTATGGTTGCTTGGAGAGTGGTGCATGATTGGTTTCCATAAATGGCTTGTAACATCACCAGTGCACAACCTGTGTATAAATCTTGTTTGATTACAACAGAGACAAAAAATAAATAACGAAACAAAAGTGAATATAGATTATGGTTCATATTGTATATTTTGTTTACTTATACCATCTAATCATATTGTGTATTTTATATACTTATATCATCTAATCAAAAGGAGTAATTGAGACTTAGGCTGTGATTAAAATAGATAATTGTCAAAATATGAAAAAATTCTTCAACTCTTCTTAATCAGTTTATAATTTCTTAATGTTGTGTTATAAGATTAACGTTTTTCTCTCTTTCATAATAAAACAAAATATTTATGATCAGCCTAAAATCAAAAAGGCTCCCCTCATATGTGTTTGAAAACATTGATATCTATGTTCAACTATATGTCATTTAAATACAACTTCACACACTCCCAAACATCAACAAAAACAGACTCAAATATTCTTGGATATAATAATTGGTATTTGAAACTCAAACCTACATCATTGTGTTCATTATCCATTTCAAAATAAATGGTCTATTGTTCATTCGAATTTTACATTTTTTAAAGGTGTGCATAGATATCATTAATTAGGTACATCGAACAATCATTCACTGTTATATTTGCAGTATTCAACTTAATATGCTCAGAAAATTGTTTTAAAGGGACAGATTCGCCATTTTCAGAGGTTGATTTTAGTCTTAAGTATATGCTAATAGACTTTGAATTTAAATATCAAACGCAGATAATTTTGAATACAAAGAATTTGAAGACTCAAATTTCGATGGTGAGCTGTTAACACTATTACTGATTGGCTTAGATAAAAAAAAAAACCTTGTTCCTTTAAACTGTTAAAAAGTATTGTATGTGTTCAGTATTTTTTAAAACCATGACTTAACATTTTGTTGAAAATTCTCATATCCCCAATACATTCCATGTTAAAATGGCAAGATGATTCCATATTGGCACATTTATTTTATAATCTGAAAGGAAAGATGAAAATTGCGATATGGGTTTGAAATTATTATATTTGATTATATTATAAGCCAAGGTATTTTTGGTAAACATTCAGCAAAAATGCATAAAACTCCCATCCCTACTAACAATTTATTATAGGGCAATGATACATAACACTGTAAATTTAATCTTTATGTTCAGGTGAAATAAAACTGAATGTGGGAGTTTACTATTGCAAAAAATATTTTACGTGGCTTGAACAAGAACAGCTGTGAAGTCTTTGATTATCTTATCATGAAGTACTGTGTCAATATTGGGAAACATCCATTTTGCAACACCGATTTATGTTCTTAACCTCTTTCTATTATTTCATTTGCCCATTAATTTTTAGAACTTGAAACATTATCTACATTTTGTATTTCTTTTGAAATAAAATTATAAAAATCACACATAACTGTTTCATTTTTTTTATTGTACTTTTTATACGCCCACATCTCTCTATGTGGACGTATATTGTGGGCACCCCCGTCCGTCCGTACATTTGCTTGTAAACGTTCTAAAAACTAGATTTTTTGATGGAATCAAATGAAATTCGGTATGTGTATACATATTCATAAAATCAAGATCAAGTTCGAATTTGAGCTTTTTTCGACCGTTTGAAGCAGAGTTATTGCCCTTGACTCAAAATCTTGAATATGCTTAGTTTTCAACCGATTTTGATGAAACTTAAAACGGATGTTATTGGACCTAAATCGAAAGCTTTGAGAAAGTTAAGTTTACTTCTGATAAAGCTCTCACTTTATGATTCATGGATAGGTTACTCCACTGAAAACAAGGGCAGGGGTTATCGTTATTAACTGCTATATACCCTTCCTCAGTATACAGAATAAACATCCGATAACAAATACTCATGCACGTGCAATATTATAGGTCACATGGGATCAAATATAATAAACAAATACAGAAAATCTTTCAATATGGCCGGACATGATTTATAAAGATATACTTATTTGAGGTAAATACTATTATTCTTTTATTACAATTTTATTTCAATCTTCAATGATTAGCGATAGATATTGTACTCATTTCATCTCTATCTATTTTGATTTTGGGGACTTGTGGACTTTATTACTTTATGTAATTTGAACAGGTACATCAACAAATCAGTTTCCTCCTTGCCATCACACAAAATGGCTTATATTCTTACACTCATACATGTTATATTTTGGCATTTATTTGGCAGTTTCGTGTCATGATTTACACATCAATCAAACTGCTTTTAGCAATTATTTACTGCCCGACCACAATGTAGAAAATGTTAACAGATGAAAACATTTATTTTTTGGAAATAGGATTTGACAGAAGAGAATTTTCAGTCCAAATTACGCTCATCTTACATTACTGTCATTGTGTAAATATTTATTTATTTTTCACCCAAAAATATTCTCATACAAAATAATGTCAAGCATATTATTATTATATATTATATTGCGAAATTTAACAGAGAAAATAGTGGTTACGTTTGCACTAAACAACCTTGGGGTAAACACATTTCCCTACAACTTATAAAGGTAGTTATGCCCCCATGTTTTAATGCATTTATATGCACAAATGCACCATATGAATAATAATAAAAAAAAACAATATATTTTCCAAATATATCTCAATGATTATGTTCCAATTGCTGTAAATATTTGCAGTCAAATGATAGAATATAGATCGATTGCACAATGTATCCTATGAATAATAATAAAAAACCCAATATATTTATCAGATATATCCCAATAATTATGTCCCAATAGCAGTAAATATTTTCAGTCAAATTATATAATATATATCGATTGTTTTTTCTGATATGTCCAGATAGTCCATGTGAATATTGGTGCAAAATTTCAGCATTGTAAGTTTTGACGCAAAAAATTTATTTGTCTTTGAGCACTTCTTTTGCACCAATATGCAGACTGCATATAGCTAGTTTGAAAACTTACAGATTTTGATTTGATTTCTTGTGTTTTTTGAAGTCCTTGGGGTCTAATTAGTAGGAAAAGATCAAAACTTGAGCCAAAAGTTTGCATTTGAAAAAGTTGTCTATAGGCCACATTTGCCTCTATGACCAACATGCATTAAAAATGTAATAAATT